GACACCTACTCCCATAGCCTGTGTTTTCGTTATGTTGAGTTTGTAGTATGAGTGGGTGCCATAAGTAGTTATCTCTTGTAAAAGATTGGGGAGTGAGATCTGGGGCTGGGTAATCGTCAGTAGGACATCGTCAGCAAATAAGTTGGTAGTGTATTCTCGTTCATTGATCCTGACGCCATGGATGTTTGGATTGTTTCTGATTCTTACCGCTAGCGGTTCTAGGGCCAAAACATATAACAGGGGTGATAAGGGGCATCCCTGCCTGGTTCCATTAGTTAATGTTATTGGTTCCGAGAGGAAACCTGAGTTGAGCACTTGGGCTCTCGGCGAACTATACAGGGCTTCTACTACTGAGACAAACCCCTCCGGGATTCTAAACTTTTTTAACACTGCCCGCAGAAAAGTCCAGTTTAGGCGATCAAAGGCCTTCTCTGCGTCCAGGGAAACCATCAGCCCCCCTTGTTTCTGTTTGCGGAGGTAATGTAAGATGTTTAGTACTTTCCTCGTGTTATCCGCTCCCTGCCTCCCCTTGATAAAGCCTACTTGATCATTATGGATAATTTCGGGCAGTATAGACCCTAGCCTCAGCGCGTATGTTTTGGCCAAGATTTTGGCGTCTGTGTTTAGAAGGGATATGGGTCTAAAGTTCTGTGTGATTGTGGGTGCCTTCCCTGGTTTGGGCAAGGTAACTATGTGTGCAGTCAGCATCTCAGGGGGTAGAACTTTATGTTCTGTAGCTTGTGAGTAGGCTTTGACTAGGTATGGCGCTAGTGTGGTGCTGAACTTCTTGTAATACGTGTTGTCTAGCCCATCAGGTCCCGGGGCCTTACCCGGTGGTAGGGTCCTTATTACATCCCTTATTTCCTCTGCGCAGAGTGGTTTCGTAAGTGCCAGCTGTTGTTGGGCTGTGAGTTGTGGCAGGTGTATGTCCCTTAGATATGTCTGGATATCTCTCTCTATCGGTTGCGGTGTCATGGGGTCTAGTCTCAGGTTATACAATTTCTCATAGTATTGTGCGAATTCATCGCTAATTGCCTTTGGGGTGGTCAATTTCTTGCCTGTGTGCGAAGTGATGTAGGCTATCTTTTGTGCCGCTTGCCTCGTCTTAAGTCTGTGCACTAGTAATTTGCTAGCTTTATTGCCCTGGTTATATTGTTGTAGCTTTAGACGGTTTAGGTTATGTTCTGTACGTTCTAGTGCTTGTGTGTGCAGTCGTCTAGTGGTTTGGAGTATGCGTCTGCGTCTATCATCCGTGGGGGAGATTTGATTCGCTAAATTTAAATCGTAAAGTTCTTTTTGTAGCTCTAGTGTGAGTTTTTGAGATTGTTTTCGGAGGTAAGATGCCCGACGTATTAGCAAACCTCGTACCACAGGCTTGTGTGCCATCCAGACCGTTGTGGGCGATACCTCGGGCGTCTCATTTTCCTCGAAATACCGCTTCATGTCTGTGGTCAGATCGGCCACAAACTGCGGATTTAAAAGGAGAGAATCATTGATTCTCCATGGGCTGCGGTGTTTGAAGTCATACATGTCTTTCCCCTGCAGAAGTACTGGTGCATGGTCTGACCATGTAATGTGTGCTATGTCACAACTCAGGATTTGGTTAAGGTAGGATCCCTGGAGGAGGAAACCATCAATTCTAGAGTACGAATTGTGAACAGGTGAAAAGTGTGTGTATGCTCTCTCGGAGGGGTGTGTGATCCTCCAAGTGTCGTAGTAGTGGTAGGTGTGCAGCAGGGACTGGATGGCTTTGCCCTGACGTCTAAGGGTTTTATATCTGCTACTAGCTCGGTGTATGGTGGAGTCCATGGTTGGGTCAAGCACGTGGTTAAAGTCACCACAGACAAGTGTTATACCTTGCTGTATAGGTACTAGTGTTTGAAAAATTTTGTGTAGGAAGTTCCTCTGATTTTGATTGGGTGCATAGATATTCGCGATGGTGTACTCTATGTCATTTATCGTTCCCACTATCACCACGTCTCTGCCTAGTTGATCTATGTGCTGCGATTTTAGGGAAAAGGAGACATGTCTGCTTATCAATATGGAAGTACCTTTAGCTTTAGTTGGGGAAGTGGAATGGAATTGGTGTGGATACTCTAACTCCATAATCTGGGGATGATCCTTAGTACGGAAGTGGGTCTCCTGTAAGCACACCACTTCTGCGCATTGTTTCTTAAGCTCCCGGTACAGTAAGTGTCTTTTTGTCGGGATGTTCAATCCCCTCACATTATGTGTATATATTTTCATGTAGGGTCAGACATGTAGGGTTGTGCTGAGTATTGCGAGTGTTTGTTGGTTGTGGGGTGCCCCACTCCTCCCAGTGCTATCAAGCAGAGCAAGGCAGCCCCTAGAATCTGTAGTGACTTCTCATAGGTGACAGTATATACCTTATCTTGGAAGTTAGGGGTGAGACCACCCACCAGGTCCCCATCCCAGCCCCCAGCAGTGTTGGCAACAGGCCCTCTCCCGCTGAGTACTTTAACAGAACAAAATAACCAAACAACAACAAAAGTATTTACAAAGTAGGACCATGCCCTTTGTGTGGCTTGGCACTTCATCCAAGTGCCTTGGGGGTAGAAGCTCGTCGCTCCTTTGCCTGGGAAGTTACTTGCGCTCCGCGCTGGCCTTATGTCTGTGGCAGTATTTATCTTATTGGGTTTTTTTTTTTTTTAGGTTGTGTAACCCCTGTTCTAGTTGACATGGTGCGGCGTAGTTACCTCTAAGGGATCTCAATCCTTTCAATACACAGAGTGATCGCTGCTTACTACACCCTGATGTCTAACTCGCACCACTAATGATTACTAGGGTGTTAGCTAGCTACGTGGTAATCAACGGGAAGTAGCCCTCACATTAGCATAAACATTTACACATTATGGTACTTGCGGCTCAGCAAAGTCTGTGGTCGTGGGCCCTCTCAGGCCACGTGGGTGCACCTTCTACGTGCGTTTCGCCCGTTTCCAGCCCGGTGTTATTCTTCTCGGCTCCTTGGGTCGGTTGTGCTGGTGTTCACTCTCGATACCCCATCCTCTCAGTATATCTGTCCCTTCCTCTGGCGTTGAAATTACCGTGGTCTTTCCTGCCCTCTGTACCAGCAGCTTGACCGGATAACCCCACCGATATAATATGCGTTGTTCTCTGAGCGCTGCCGTGATGTCCTGGAATTCTCTCCTTCTCTGAAGGGTGAACGCTGAGACATCCGCAAATATCATGATGCTGCGGTACTGCTCTGGTAGATCCTTGCGTGTTCTACTACCTCTCAGGATAGCCTCTTTGGTATGATAGTAGTGCATACGCACCAATATGTCCCTGGGTGCATCTTGGGGCAGGAACTTCGGTCTCGCCGTTCTGTGTATACGGTCAAAGAGGAGCATGTCTTGTGGAATGTCTGGCACCAGTGTTTTGAGGTAGGCCGTGACATGTGCTGGTAGGTCAGATATGCTCACTGTTTCTGTCACCCCCCTCAGCCGCAGATTATTTCGGCGGCTTCTATCCTCTATGTCCGCCAGTTTTACCTCCTGTGCTGTGAGGCGTTCCTCCATTTGCTGCAGCCGGTCCGCCATCTCATTATGTGCCTCTTCAGCTGTGGTCAATTTCTCCTCTAGTTGAGAGGTCCTGGAGCCGAGATCCACTAGGTCTTTGCGTAGGTCTCCGATGGAGGTCTGCACACTGTTCATTATTTTAAGCGACATGCCGTCAAGCATGTGCTGCATTATTGCCTGGGTCAGAGGCCCCTGATCAGTGGGCGCACCGTGCGTTTCTTCAGTGCTCTCTTCGGCGCCATCTTGGCTCCCCGCCGGCAGAGCAGAGTCGCGCTGAGCGGCTTGTTTTGGGGCAAAAAACTGCGTCTTGTCCGCCTTATCCGCCTGCCGTTTGGTCTTGGGGTGAGACATTTCAATTTTTTCGGGTGTATACTGCCCGTTATGTTGGTGCAATTGCACAATTTAGGCCTTCTGGCGCGGAGCTTCAGTTACATGCGGCTGCTCCCGTTGGTGTCCAGGCCACGCCCCAGTACATGTATTCTTAAACATTTGGCATAGATTGGTGGTAAAATGGTTGCATGAAAAGAGTCAAAATACCCCAAGTTTAATACCTTAGGTTGTCTTCTTTTAAAAAATATATACATGTGAAGGGTTATTTAGGGATTCCTGACAGATATCAGTGTTACAACGTAATTTAATCGTTAATTAAAAAAAAAAAAAAAAATGGTTTGGAAATAGCAAAGTGCTACTTGTACTTATAGCCCTATAACTTTCCAAAAAAGCTAAGAGTATGTTAACATTGGGTATTTCTAAACTCAGGATAAAATTTAGAAACTATTTAGCACGGGTGTTTTTTGGCAGTTGTAGATGTGTAACAGATTTTGGGGGTCAAAGTTAGAAAAAGTGGTTTTTTTTTACATTTTTGCATCATATTTTATAATTTTTTATAGTTAATTATATGATACGATGAAAATAATGGGATCTTTAGAAAGACCATTTAATATCTTGAAAAACGGTATATAATATGTGTGGGTACAGTAAATGAGTAAGAGGAAAATTACAGCTAAACACAAACACCGCAGAAATGTAAAAAGAGCTCACAGTAAGAAAATTCAACGGTCTGGTCACTAAGGGGTTAAAAAAGCCAAACTAGAAGTGTTCCTAACTTGGAGAATGTTTACAATTTGGGCTATTTTGGCATTAAAAAGTTTAAATTATCTTTGAATCTGTAACAATTCTCTCTTTAGTAAATACACCTGTATGACTGTCCTGCCAAATCCAGGACTGTTGGCAGGTATGTTAAAAAGTTTTTTTTAATAAAGATCCTATGTATGGAGAGAGAAAAAAGTGACATTCCTGCTTTTTAAAAAAAAATAAAAAAAAATCTAAATTTCCTCATAGGGAATAGAGAAAAATAAAATACCAAAAATATCCAAGAATATCAGCTGTGTGCCCCCCCCTGGCTAGGTTGCAGCCTGTCAGCCTGTCCCAGGTTACTCTCCCCTTTAATAAGTTCACACCCCCAGGCTATCTCCCACACACCGGCTACTGCTCTCCTCCCCTGGCTGTCACTGTGCAGCTAAGGCTGTTTGCGGAAGTGTGTGGGTCAGCATGGCAGGGAAGGAGCCTCTGCTGGGCACTCTGAAAGGTAGGTAGACTGGGTGAGGGGGCTGGGTGGGCTAGGAATGCCTACAGAGGGGCTGATGAGAACACTGTGGGGGTTTAAAGGAGGAGATTAACTAAAGAGGAAATAGCAGTGAGGAATGGGGGGATGTGGAGCATAAAAAAAATATATAAATAAAGGGGGGAAAATATATAATAAAAATTAGAAATGGGGGATCTGCATGTTGCACCATGGAGGGGCTATAGAAGAGGAAGGGGTTTTCTGAAGACTCTATTAGACATATAAGATACAGAGAAAGCCAAACTGAGATTAATAGCACTGATTATGGTAAAGGTCTGGGAAACAGGCGTCTTAAAGGAGGGGTGCCAGGCTAGTGAATGTGGGGAGGGGGGCTAGCCCCTGCCTGGACTCTGTGCTCAGAAAGGGTTAATGCTACCAGTGAACAGTATCCTTAATAATAATAATAATAATGCTTTCTGTTGTTCTCAATAAGGGGGTGAGTGGGTGTGTATACTGCCATTGTGGGCACCTTGGATCTCAATAATGGACAAAATGGGGTGAATATAGCTAGAAGGGGTGACTTGTGAGAGGTTTTCTGCTCCTTGTTGGTTTATTCAATAAAGTAAGAATTCAAAGTGAATTTCCTATTCAAAGTTAAAGTAGTCAAATTGGAGAAAATCGAAGTCTGCTATGCTCCAGTTCAGCTACTTTTGGTGTTAAATTCACTTTGAATCCATGTTGAATTCTCACCTTAGTGTATAGCCCTGATTGGGGTAAGTCGAGCCAGGCGGACAGCATTCCTCTGGCACACCTTTAACCATTGTTACTGTGATCACCACAGTGCACACTGCACATCAAGCTTCCCATATCTCATATTATATATATATATATATATATATATATATATATATATATATATATATATATATATATATATAAAATCTGAGCAAGGTGATACAGCTGAGCCGAGGAAGATAAAAACCAAAATGAAAAACACTCTGCACTTGTTTTGTTTATTTTGGCCTGAAGTGTGCGATTTGATATTCAGTTCTCCATAATCACCAGCTTAGTGAACAATTTAGATAATGAGAATATTATTATTATTATTTATATAGTGCCATCAGATTCTGTAGCGCTGTACAATGGGTCTCCATCATTCCTCACACAGTTGTTTAAATATATTTGTTTGACATTTCACCGAATGCCAGGGGAGTTTGCTGGGGTGTTGTATGCAAGGGGTGGGGGTAAAGTTTGTCTCATGCTAACCTGTAAAGATATATTAACATACAAAGTCCTGCTGTGTAATTTAGAATCCACCAACACGCTCTAACACCTGTGTGTTCACCTCTCGATACACACAAAATTAAGGTTATACATACATACAAAAAAAGTGGAGTGTAGTTGGTATTCACATATGATATCACTGAAAAAGACATGGCCAAAGTCTAGTGCAATTCAGTAAAACTTAGTACAGTGAACAGATGAGTAACTCTAGAATTTGGTACTCACAAATATGGAGCCTATATGCAAGACTCACCACAGATGCAGGTGGGGAAGTTAGAATGGACCCCACTCCCTTATTGATGCTGTAGAAGTTTTCTTCTTGACCCAATAAGTTCACTGAACGTGAATTCCAAAAAACTGAAAAACTTTATTGGTACAAAAAATTCATTAAAAACGTGTTAAAAAGTGGTATAGTAAATAAAGTCCACATAAAATAAACGTGCAAGACGCGTTTCGCCTATTAAAAAGGCTTCCTCAGTTGCTTCTTGGTTCTTTCCTCTTGTCCGGTCGTTTTATATATGCTTCTTCTCAATTGCTTACTCCGATCACTTGTTTATACTGATTACTTCCATCTCTCTTCAATGACGCGGTATCTCGCGTTGCTTCGTGATGATGTCATCACGATCAGTCCATATTTGGAACGCATGCTCGCGTTCCAAATTTTCACTAAAAACTACATGTTCCATGGGTACATAGAAGAAAAGGGAACATCGTTATGAATATCTTTTCGTTCACATATATCACAAGGTTTTAGGAATGTGTCATAAGTGAACTATAATGCATTTCAGTTTAAAAATAATGAATGCTTACAGAAAAAGGTGATAACATTAAACATATGTTCCCTTTTCTTCTATGTACCCATGGAACATGTAATGCCTGATCCTGATGAAAGTCCCTGCTGGGACTGAAACGTTGATCTTTTAATGGATACTTAATAAATTGTTAATTTTAATTCTTGAAAATCCGTGAGTGCTGATCACTATCTGAGAGATATATATATATATTTTATTTATTTATTTTTCGGCAACTTTGACCCGTTTTCGGCCGAAATAAGATAGGCCCACTTTCAGGCCGAAAATTTTGGTGCATCCCTAATTAAGATGGATCATAGACATTTTAATGTAGTAGAAGTTGGAAATTGAGTACAAGGCCATGGATGAAGGCGCAACAACTGTTTTCTGGGTTTTGATTGTTTATGTGACACTGGTGTGCTGCCTACTTGAGGAGGTAGGGGCACCGAATGACCAAGTGTATGTATTCCTACATATAGTCTTACAATGGATGGACCATTACATATGAAAGGATTTGGAAAAGATTTATTGAGAATATTCTAACCTATTTCTCTTGATGACGGGGGGAAGCAAAAACTTAAAATAAAATGTTGTTGAAATAAAAATAAGAGGTAAATTAATCATATCCATTTCTCAGTTGATCAGGGCAGTCTCTGTGCAATGCTAATATTCTAACGGTCTTTCATCCTAGCTTGTGTCCTGGGACTTCAAGCAAGTGGCTCGGACACAGTAACCGATGACTCTCCACATGTGACCCCTCTCTGTGACATCTTGGAGATGATACTTCGCAAAGGATTGAGAAGTAAGTAAAATCTAGGTATTGATACTGTGACGGAGCTCCAGTACTCCGGCTGAGTACCTCCATTAAAGTTCCCTGGAAAAGAAAGTACTGAAGTGACTACAGTCCTTTCCCCAAACACCAGTCGACACTTGGTGAAGGGTAAAACAAAAACCCCTTATTAGAACAGGCACATATTTATAGGGACATTCGCAACAAGGGGCAGCGATGAGAACAGGGTGCCTTACAACATTTACCCTAAAATAACCTCCAACAGTATATTGACAACTGATACATCCACACAGAGGGCTAATGTCACCTAGCAACATGTACTAAAAGCGTCTGTGTTGGATGTACCCAGCCTGAGTAATCCTCAAGTGAAATTTAGCCGGGCTGTGGCAATTTTCCAATCTGACCCAGAATTCCGAGCTTCCGCCAGATGATTAACGACTGATCGCGCTGGACAAATTGCAGCTGCCCTGGTCCCATAGATCAGTTTCAGGGATGGAAAATAGGGTGCTCCGCTGCACGAGGGATGGATGGAACAGGGGAAAATGCCAGGGAGAGTGATTATGCCCTTTTAGGGGGAGTTAGACTTTGAGTCCTGCACCAGTTGAAGCATGATCAGAGCAGGCTCCATCACAGATACAAAGAGTGTTTTAGCTCTGAAGGGATTGGTACTGCTACGCCTGACAGCTAGCTTGAGTATTCTTGTCAAAAATAATTGATGGCGACTGCTTGACTCCCGTCTCCTGGACACTGTTGCTGTCTTGAAGGACAGCACATAAAATCACTTAAATACACACAGACTTACTTCACAGTTCCCTTTAATCCTTTTCCTTTTACTGATATGCCAGTTAAAGTGCTCTCCCAAGCACCTATGTATGAGTAAAGCAGAGTTAATGACGATAGCCTGGCAAAGTGACTGTCACAGTTATGTAGGCATAAATAGCCACATTCACATTTTCACACCTATATTCATACTTATAAGAGCAGTTTAAGCACCATAACTATTACAACTTAACTGTATGAGCCATAGTGGTTATGGTTTTTGCAATGTCCATTTTAAGGTGTAAAGGCGAAAATATATGACCGTGCGTTGTAACAGCAGAAAAGTGGTCTAATTGGTGCAATCTCTTAGGTGGAGCACTGGGCATGAAAAGGAGAGATTACTGGCATTGGATAGAGGACCTTCCCCAACACGACAGCTGTGGCAGGTGAGAGAACAAAGTGAATATTTGGGTGAGATAAAAAGTGCTTTAATTAAAATAATAAATATGCTTATTAAGCAGAAAGTATGGAATATGCTGGAGTCAGGCTTGAACAATCATTGAACAGAGAAATTAAAACAAATATACTCTCTCTAGGGTATAATGCAGTATTGGTTTTCTCTATATCCCTGTATGTGCTGTGGGTGGTGTTATAAATTCTTCTCTACATTTTTAACCATCTTTGGCTCTGGCAATCCACGATAACTCATCATCACTGGTTTTGTAAAGCTAACACTCCCAGCCAGTTAACAGTGTCCAAAGTTGGATAAAATTGATATTGCTGAACTGGAATTCAGCGGGTGCCCAAAGAAACGGGTCAAACAAGGAGAAGTATTTACAAGGCAGGTGCTCTGGGCAAATGCTGCCTCTTGAGTTTAGCTCCACTGAGCTAACCAACCAGGAAGAAGCAGGACCTGCTGTTTGATTGACAGCCAGGAAGGCTGTACCAAGGTTATTATTAAAAGTGCCAATTTCTATTAAAATATTTGCTTTTTGTAAAATTTTAAAAAGCAGACACACTCTTGACACCTAAGGCACTTCAGCAAGCTAAAGTGCTTTAGGTGCGTGAAGTTTTTCTTCAAGTAAAGCTGTCCACTTTATACTGGAGGTTCCTGACACAGAGGTGGACAGTTTTAGAAGTTCCTGACTGCGAGAGTAATATTCTAGTGTTGGAAAATTGAGATGGATCATTTACATGTTCGTGTCTCCTCATATAGGCTCTCTTATCTGTCAGTAATGGTAGAAAAAACAAATGCTTGCCCCAAACTGCTGACTGCACAAGGCCGTGGAAGATATTTCCTGCGTATGGCTCTCAATGGCAAATCTTTGGTGACCACAATCCAGCATTTACAACACACATGCAAACTATTGGAGGTAGGCAGTAATGTATACATGCTAACATGTTGCTAGAACATTGCAGACACTTAGAGAACTTAGAGAACCATTTGTATTATAGATACAGTATGTGTGTTACTACTGTGTGTATGTAGGTGTGTACTTGCGTGTGTGTATGTAATGGTCAGGATATCTGCATAGTGATTTGATGTCGTTGTTGTGTATTTTATAATTGTTTATTAAAACAAGCCTCCCTAAACAGTAGGTAGAATTGTTGAGATTTTATTATGGTTTCTTTTCTTCCAGCGGTATGATCCAAGCATGTCTGTACTTGGAAATGAAGACTTTATGGGTAATATAAATTAGTCTGGTCACATATGAAATGACTATTAAAAAATACATATAATTGTATACATTCACATAAATGGGTACTACGCCCCTACCTGTGCTATCCAACTTCTCAAAGTTGTTAACGTAATTTTGTTCAAGAGAATCAAAGACTTTCTCCCTGCAGAACCCTTCCTGTGCCTGCTGCTGGTAGCTTCACAAAGCAATTTCTCTCTGGATCTACAGGTATTTTAATGTAAATGTGGGTAAAGTTACTCCTTTTGGTTGTGCAGCATTTTCCATCATGTTGCTCGTAATTAAAAAAAAAAAAAATTCTTTTTTGCCTGTTTTCAGAATTCTAGTTTCCTGGATGAAAGCTGGATTCTCCCGGTAATTCTTTGGCATACAGAACATACGTTTGAACGTGTTCTCTATTGTTATAGACATTACATTATTATTCTATTAAATATTAGTATTTGGTCATTATTTGTAACTCATGTTTCCATAGGTGTGTACCATTTATCAGACTGTGCCGTGCAGAGAACTCGGAATGGTGCTTAGGTGAGAAATCAGTGTTCCTAACGTAGACCTAAATTTAATAATTTTTTTGAGAAGCCTTTCAATTTACTTAATATTTCTGGATAGGTTTTTCAAATGATTTTGATATTTTTTGATAAACTTTTTTTATTTTATTTTTTTTTTTATTATTTGAGATTTTCAAAAGTATATTTTAATAGGTTGATTTATTTTTTTATATATATATATTTTGCTGTATTTTAATAATTTGAAAATATAAATTTTAATTTATATTTTTAAATTCTTAAAATATAAAAACAAAATGTTAATCTATTTAAATATTAATATACTTTCGAAAATGAACAATTTAACGATTTTAAATGTTTATTCAAAAATATCAAGTCACTTGAAAAGTAGCATAAACAGCGCTACGGAATTTGATGGCGCTATATAAGTGCTTTGAGTGAGTTGTCTGTGTGCCGCAGGGTAAAATGGCTGAATACGATTAATGTCCCGGTTCGGCTTAGTCGGGTGCTGGCGTGGTTTGGAAGGATCCTCAGTTGGCAGAGCGATAGTCCTAAAGCTGAAGCAAAGGCTTTGGCTCCCATGAGACTAGTAAGCTGGAGTTGCTTGTCTTCACGTTGAACACAGCGTTTAAGACCTGGACCCCAGTGATAATAAACGCTGTGTTCCTTTAGGAGCCTAGTTATGGGTCACAGAGATGGCCTCCAAAGGACAGTTGAATCAAATCTTCAATATTTCCGAAGGTGGTGTAAGGCTAAAGGCCCACCAGTGTTGTGATTGGATAAATCTCCCCTTACAGTGAGAAATTGTCTTGGTCATCTAGAGCGCTGTCCTCTGAGTAGGCAGGCGGTGGTTTCCTTGCAGGTGCTATCTTGGTTGCACGCGGCAATGTAGACTGAAGGAGCAGGTTCCCGGTATGCTGGGATTTGGTCTTAGACCTGCGTCCATATTCTCCAAAAAGATGGGCTGATAAAACTGACCCCTTGAGAGCTGTAGAAATGGTGTAATTTAGTGTATAACCAGGTTATCTATGGAGAATCAGTAGAAAAAGTCTGTTCTATTCTATTAGCTCAGCCCCCTGACATTCATATTTAATATTCATATTCGCTACAATTTGGGGTTTAGTGATTAACCCTATATGTGAAATGATCTTGTATTAGTGATATTAACCCCTTAAGGACCGTGGGCATACTTGGTACGTGTAACAAAAAACGGTCCTTAAGAACTGCAGACATACCTAATATGTCCACGGCAAATATGAGCCGTCCTTTTTACTTACCCGATCGCTGCTGTTCCCCCACCGGTGATCGGTGTTGCTCCTGGTCTGGAGGGACTGCCTGACAGCCCAGACAGTCCCCCATGGCAAATTAGGCCCCCGCGGGCCATGTGATCGCTCTGAAAGAGCGATCACATGGCCGCAATAGGTGTCCATAGTCCATAGTGACTGTAGCGGACTCCGGGTAACCAGACTGGTTACCTCCGCTATTATCTTCCTTCAGCTGCTCAGGAACCACTGTAGAATATACAGAGATCCATTTCCCCCCAGTAACTAGACTACACACAGTTCTGGAAGTACAACACTGACTGAACTCTGTTTATTTCGTCACACGTGGTTTTACATGCACAGACTCCTACATGGGGTCTCCAACACAAAACCAGGGTTTCATTCCCAAGAAGCTGATGGGGGATGGAAGAGGGACAAAGCAGCCAGTTCAAACTGGGCTGGCAGTGTCCCTGTGGCAATGCCCTGCTGAGACAGATAGGGGGAGAGGCACAGACAAGTAATACATTTCACTTACTATACTTAACAGAGCTGTCCCCCCCCCTCCCCCCCCCAATGTGCCTGCGGACTGGGGAGGGAGAGCAGAGATCCCGGCCCGCAGGCACTGTGCTGGCAGCCAGCAGGGGAGGAAGAGAGGCCCCGGGAGCTCAGCCTTCAGCTTCTCCGGGTCCTTCTCTTGCGGTTACCACGGCAACGCTCCAAATCTCGCAAGAGTGAACTCTAGCCCTGGAGCTACGGGCTAGAGTTCACTCTAACCATTGGAACCACCAGGGATCCAGGAATGTCCCCCCTCCTCCCAGTAAAGGTAAGAAAATAGATTTATTTTATTAAATAAAAAAAAAATATTAAGCCTCCCTACCCTCCTTCTCCGCCCCACAAACACTGTCCCCCATACTTATACTGCCCCCATACACACACTGCACACCAATAGACACATTTCCCCCATACACACACATTGCTCCCCCATGAAACATACACAGTGCCCTACACACACTGCTGCCCCCATACACACATTGCCCCTCAGACACACATACAGCTCCACTCACACACTGCTGCACCCATACACACATTGCCCTCAGACACATACAGTGCCCATCACACACTGCTGCCTCTATACACACATTGCCCTCAGACACATACAGTGCCCATCACACACTGCTGCCCCCCATACACACACATTGCCCCCATTGTGACACATACAAGCAGTGTCCTACACACACTGCTGCCCCCATACACACATTGCCCCACAGACACATACAGTGCCCTACACACACTGCTGCCCCCCCCATACACACATTGCTCCACAGACACGACCCCCCCATACACACTCTGCCCCACACATGCATATAGTGCCCCCCGCCCATACACACACTGCCCCCATACACACACATACAGTGCCCCCCCATACACACACTTATGCACAGTTGCCCCCATACACATACAGTGCTCCCCCATACACACACTGCCCCACACACACACATACAGTGCCCTCCATACACACACTGCCCCCCATACACACACTGCCCCAAACACACATAGAGTACCCCCCCATACACACACTGCCACATACACTGCAAGCCTCACACACACTGCAGCTCTCTCACACACACGACTGCTCCTATGCCCTATATCCCAGCAGACCCCAGGTAAGTTGTCAAACTGTACTTAAACGGTTTAACTACTTACTCTGGGATGGGATCCTGGCACTACTGGCACCATAACTACTGAGCTGTAGTGGTTATTGTGCCTGGATTATTTCTTTAAATAATCTACAAGTGCCCCTCCCGAGATCAGGCTCTGGATCCGCCCCTGATACAGGCACATGTAAAACAGTTGTGGACTGCATCTCCCATAATGCTTTTACATCCATAATGCTGCCAAAGTCCTCAAAATCTGGGATTTCAAAGGCAGTCTACCCCTGTACCAAACCATAGCTCTTCCCCGTGACATCCCAAATAATTCCAAATCTGACCGCCTCAGTTGTGCAAGTTCATAGATTTGCCATGTTGAATTCAAATGACGTCAAGCAAAAAAAAAAAAATATATATATATATATATATATATATATATATATTTTTTTTTTTTTCACTTTCATGTGGCGAACCAGGGGCAATCATTGTTGTCACTCCAGATGTTGTGGACTACATCTCCCATGATGCTTTGCCAACTTTATGGCTTTAAGGCCCTGTGTTCTTCAGTTTTGACAGACCTGTAACAGACCTTTTCTGGATGTAAGAAAAGAGGTCACTTCCCAGGAACACACCCAGCATGTGGCCGCTTTCTTTTACTTCTTATCAGTCTCTTTGACACATGAGATTTAGATTAGAGGAATGTTTTCTAAGGGTGTCACCTACTTTCTCTACTCTGCAACCTCCTGCTCTTCCCCCACCTCTGCAGGATATTAAATTGGCCTTGCTTCCAATTAATCCTACCATCCCCGAGAGGTCTCTGCCAATCTCACAAACTGGTTCTCCTTGTTCTGCGAGAGTAACATATATTCAATCAACCTTAACCTTAACAGCCTTGCACTTTTACTTTTGTACCTATTGTTATTTTATGTGCATTGTGTAGAATCTTGCAGAAGGATTAAGAATATGACACTAAAACAGTAAATGTGGACTTTTCAGAAACCGTTTTTAGACCTCTGTGTCTGTGTGAAGCACAGAAGGGTTTCGTATAATTTTAATGTTTTAAGTAAGAACCTTTCTCTCCTGTCTTATTAATTATTAGGATAAGGGAGGTATTAAGGATGTATCTATATATTTTAAGTCTTAAGCTTTGTGTGTAATTCTTACTCACAACATGAAACCCACATGAACACTGTTTTTTTTTTTGATTCAATATTTGTTTACGCAGGGGTGGATTTTTATTAAGAGTTCCCACGAGTCAGGGAGTGTTTGAGTGACAGAGTGAATGTGAGTGCTGGGATGTTATGTTTGCTGTGTCTGAGAGTGCAATTATTTTTTTATTTATTTTTTGGTCTGTGTGTGTTTGTTCGCAGTTTCAGTATGTGAATGCAGGGACTATATGCATGTTGTGTCAGTAAGTGTGAATGCAGAGCTCTGTGTATGCTGTGTCAATGACTATGCAGAGGCTTTTTGTGCACAGTATCCGTGTTTGTGAATGCAGGGTCTAGGTGCGTGCAGTGTCATTAAATGTTGATGCCAGAGTCTGTGTGTGTGAAGGTTCAGTGTTTGTGAATGCAGGGACTATATGCATGTTGTGTCACTAAGTGTGAATGTCAATGACTATGCAGGGGCTTTCTGTGCGCAGTATCCGTGTTTGTGAATGCAGGGGCTAGGTGCGTGCCATGTCATTGAATGTTGATGCCGGAGTTTTGTGTGAAGTGTCAGTGTTTGTAAATGCAGGGGTTCTCTTTGCAGTGTCCGTGTGTTTTTAAATGTAGAGGCTATATGTGCACGGTCTGTGAGTGTGAATGTAAGGTAGTATTTTAAGGAAGATTAGTAGGAGATTTGTGGAAGATTAGGTGTATTTGCAGTCCTTCCTCCTCCTTCACCATGCCATCTCACTAGCCCACCACTACTACTTCATGCCTAATATGTATATTTGAGAGGTGTCCTTTTTGCTACTGAAGTGGTCCGAGGGCCCCTGACACTTTTTTTTTTTTTAATATTCTTTATTTGAATGTTCCAGCCCTAAAAGGTTCAGTTTATTCAGGGCCAGATTGTTTGAGCATGGTTACTAGGGATTTAAACCTTTGTGTGGAGGAAGATTTAGAGCAGGATACAATGGATTCACTACAGGAAACAATTTGTCAGCTGTTCCACTTGAACAATGAATTACCTCCCTCTGTTACAAGAAATGTTTTATCACTATCTGTCTATCTAGAGCTTGGGCTCTGGATGCTCTAGGCGCCAGTCTTTGCAGTATTGTAAAGTGCTTTTAGTGAGAAGACTTACCCTTTTTAAGTCCCGAAGCTGATTTTTCATTGTGTTCTCCTACGAGACCAACTAATCTGACTTCTATAGAAACCAATTTAAGTAAGCCGCATTACACATGCTAGGGTCAAACATGGTGACACACGAACTTTGCCCTCAGCCAGGCACTGGCTTTTGATTGGCAAACTCACCTGAGAATATTATTTTTAACACCGTCGCATTGTGACTAGGTACCACTTCTTCTCCTTATCAGGAAACGTGAAGTAACAGTTGTAACACATTTTGACATAAGTTTACAGTTATTGATTCATTTTTTTTATTTTTGTTTTTTAAAGATACTTGGAGGGACGTGTATTTGTCATCCAGGTGCTCCCTGACAGTCAGGCTGAAGTGGATGAGGTGGTACTAGCTGGTGATGTCATTGATGAAATTAATGGAGTGTCAATGCGAAATGCATATAATGGGCAGGTAAGCATTTTGTGATTCAAACAATATTTTAAATGGTATAGCAATCTGCATATCTATTAAAGGGATACCATATGCACCAAAACAACTTTAGCATAATGAAGTGGTTTTGGGGTCTCACTGCTCCATTCTCTGCCATATAGGAGTTAAATCACTTTTGTTTATGCAGCCCTAGCCACACCTACCATGGTTGTGACTCACACAGCCTGCATGGAAAATAGTAATTTTCAATCAGATCTGACAGCACAGTGTGTTTACTTTAGGAGTGTATATCTTCTGTTCTGTTAGTTGAACTTTAATCTCACACAAAAGAGGCTCCTGCTAGGTCTTGACGGCTATTAAAATTAAACAGACTGTGCAATAAAGGAAGTTCAAACATTAGATGTCTCTATACAGGAAATGTGTAGGGAGACTGTGTGATTTAACACCTAAATGGTAGAGAAATGAGCAATGAGACTGCAGGGGAATGATCTATACACCAAAACAATCCCATTAAGCTAAAGTTGTTTTGGTGCTTATACAAGCTTTCACCATGACGTCACAACAATAACAAGCTCTTCCGGGTGGCAAAAGCCGAAGCGTTCTCTGATGAAAGCTGTACTCTGCGTATAGAACTGGTTGCGTGTATGTTGTGAATGAGCTGTACAAATCTATTGATAAGAGCATGTAGCCGGATTTTTCAGTGTGATAGGAAAGTGTAGAGATGCTATTTAAGAGCTGATCAAGGAATAGGACTGCTCTCTAAACAGATTATTTTAATTTCACTGTTTTTCCCCCTCTTCCGTTCATCCTAATGTTAGTATAGAGTGGAGCAATTGCTGCAGTTAGCCAGCCTAACAACATAATTTTACTGCATTCAGTTATTTTATACTTTTTACTAATATTATTCTAATCTCCGTAGTCCCCATGCTCACTGTGTGCTCTGTAGTCCCCATGCCCAGCGTGTACTCTCCACCCCACATTCACTGCAGCCCGCCCTTGCCGGGTCCCTGAGCCCAGCCAGCCCTCTCACCCGTCCATCACATCCCAGATGCAGGTAGTCGGCCCCTGAGCTCAGTATGCGCTCACTTACGTGAGTGAATCAATTTTTGCACCGGGGCCCCATGGATCGTGTGTACGCCACTGGATGGCACACAAAACGACTTAGGAAAGTGATTGGCTAAAGTGGCAATTTTTGGAAATTCGATTTTAATTCATTATGACTTTTAAGGCACATGCAGACAGAGCAAAGTAACGGTGGAGAAGGTCTTTGGGCCTACATAAAATTAAAAATAAAGTTTGTAACATTCAAAACAGTTACTACCCCCTTCAAGCCAAGGAGACTGAGCATAGAGAGGGCAATAGTTATTAAATAATTGACCAGAAGACTGGGCGTCTCCTGGGACCGTATTGCTATTATACTCTGGAGAAAGACAAGAGGCCACTTTGCTGGGTCGGTGGGTGTATTTTGGGGTGGTGCTATTTTAAGGACACTTTAGTTAATTTCTTAACCAAAATCAGACCTCTTTGCTATATTACTGGGTCCCTGTTTGGAACAGGAACCTGCTGACCCAGGCTTCATGTAACTGCACACAATAAATAGTTTTTTTGCGACGTTGCTTCAGTTCCTGCAGATCGTAGAGCATTTTTAAACCATATAAAGAGTGCTTTCTTTTATACATTTAGACACAACGACAGCTTTGAAGTTTCTAGGGGGAAAAAAAGAACAATAGTAAAGATATAGATTACAATTAAAAGTAAGGCTGGAGTATTGGGGTCCACAAAAAGGGCTGTACTTTCTAAAGATGATTCCAAGGAAACATCTGACCAGTCTAATGTTATACATTTTTCAGGCTGGCAATATACTAAACAAACTGAAGGGGGAGCCACTGATATTCAGGTTGATCCGATGGCGCAGGAAAGATGGGGAGTTGTTCCGTCCTCTAATCCCCTATATCAAGATTGTCCAGGAAAAGATGCCCACGTTCCAGCTTCAGCAGGAGCATAGGAGCCAAGAAAGTGGGGAGCAGCAGCCTCAGCTGGAAGGCAGGTAGGGAGACGTCTGTCGCCACAACCGGCTGAGTCTGTCTATGATATCTTGTTGATAACATCACATTATAATCTCTCCCCACAGGCTGATGTACGCTCTCCAGTATCTGGGACAGGCTCAACTTGGGACGGTAAATAGCATAATATCTATTTGTCTATCTATCTCCTTAAAGTTTGCATTTTATTTAAAATTTTCCACAATTTGCTATGAATTAACTCCTATGACCGCTCACGTTTTAGTAAATAGCCCTGTTGGTTGCATTTACTGTTGTTTTGGATTTCCCGTATGCTTTCGGCTCATTTGAGAAAGCAATGGTAATTCACAAGTGTGTGATAATGAGTTTTCATTTGCGGCACACTACTTACCAGGGTCATAGTGAGAGTAGAATGGACACTATTGCAAACACTTGTATATCTTGTTTCATTCAAGGGTGATCTGTCCTATCTCTAAAGAAATACATTATTGAATTTAACATTAAAAATCACCAATAACATGCATTAAAGGACCTCTATCGGCACCCAGGCATCTTCATCTCAAAGACGTAGTTTGGGGGTAGTGGTCCTTTTAGTTTTTACCCTACTATGTAAATCATTGCTGTTTTTAAATGTGCCTATAGCCACTTCTCTAAGTCAAACTTGGTTCTCACAGCTAACCTCCAATAGGAGTGCATGCACATTTCGTCCCCATTGCTCATCATTGAAGAGAATTGGATAGCACATATAGGAGAGCCTTGGCATCATGCAGATCGATCAGCTGTAGGGACTTGATCTCGAAAACTTTTTTCCCATTTTTTTATTTAGCAACTGACATCCTGATCCAGTTCAGTCTAGGCACATATTACACATGTGGAGGAGAAACCTAAACATTTTTTTATTTCTCCCCTTCTCTGTCTGCTCTCTACATGCTGACTGCCAGGTGCACAGGACAGTGTTTATAACAGCGATTGACATGGAGCTCTCCCAGTTCAAGGATAGCGTTCTGTTGAATTCTAAATTTAATTTTCTTTTCAAGTTTTTTCACAATAACACATTTGTTAAAAATAAGAGTTAAGCAAACATAAAACATCCCAAAAATGTATTTAAAAAAAAAAAAAAAAATTTTTTTTGTATTAGTGTTAGTACAGAGAGATCTGAATGTATACTGCTAATATAATAATTCAGGGCATATGTTTGACTGACACCGGACCTGTGTCATATAAATAATTTTTACAAACTGTAATGTAATATATCTTTTTTTTTTTTCAGTTTGGGGGCAAAGAAGTTTTAGACATGGGCATTACTAAAGTTAGAAATCAAAATTGTCCCCCACAGGTGAGTGTTCTCTTTTTTCTCTTAAAATCATTTTCAACATTTAACATGTAGTTGATCCATGGCAGGAAATGAGTAAATAAACAGGAACTTCTTCATTGTTTGCAGGACGTGTTGTTTGACATTAGAGAAATTGAAATAGTGGTACAGGAAAAGTCGTCAAATGAGGTTAGTTAAAGCCAGGAGGTGAGACAGGCTAAATACAGAATTGTTGCTGGTTTATGTAATGTCACCTTTATTTACACAGGTATTGTTTCGACATCAATATCCAGAGATCTCAAGCGTTGGACGAAGAACTGATAACAGACATGTCTTTGCATTATGCGTTGTGTGAGTATAGAATATCCATTGAGAAATGCACCTTCCCTTTCTCCTTTAAAACAATAGGTTTAGATGTATACAAGTAGAAAAGAGAAATACCTGTCAATGGTTTTTCCAATTTTGTCTTTGGGGGTTTACTAAAGTTTTATCCACTACTTTCCATCAGACCGTCGTAAAGTGTACGTAATGCACTGGGTGCATTATTTCCAAAACCAGATTAATTTTTTTTTTTTTTTAAAGGACCACTATAGTGCCAGGGAAACATGCTCGTTTTCCTGGCACTATAGTGCCCTGAGGGTGACCCCACCCCCTCCCACCCGGCTCTGGAAGGGGGAAAGGGGTTAACACTTACCTTTTTCCAGCGCTGAGCGGAGAGCTCTCTGCCTCCGATCCTCCTCTTCTCCTCCCCGTCGGCTTAATGCGCACGCGCGGCAAGAGCTGCGCACGCATTCAGCCGGTCACATAGGAAAGCATTCATAATGCTTTCCTATGGACGCTGGCGTGCTCTCACTGTGAAAATCACAGTGAGAAGCACGCAAGCGCCTCTAGTGGCTGTCAATGAGACAGCCACTAGAGGAACTAGAGGAAGGCGTAACCAATTCATAAACATAGCAGTTTCTCTGAAACTGCTATGTTTATGAAAAAATGGGTTAACCCTAGCTGGACCTGGCACCCAGACCACTTCATTAAGCTGAAGTGGTCTGGGTGTCTAGAGTGGTCCTTTAAGTTTTTAAAGGTTATATTTTACATAGCAAATGGTTTAAAAGGACAGTGACTCCCATATTCATGCTCTGATCAGTAAATCAAAGCAGGAGTAGCACAGAAGCCGGATTGTAACCTTCTCTACATAAAAATATTGAAAAGTAATCTATAACTTAGAGCCCTCGGGGAAGTGTTAGTGATGGACATTTTACTGTACTCAAAGCTTCATAACCACTACAGCCTGCTGTAATGGTAAAATGCCAGGAGAACAGTGCCTTGGTTCCCCGGTAATGGGAGAGAAAAAAAAATCTTTAGCAATAGTTTGCCCCCTTACCTGGATCCCCACTGTTCTCTGATACTTACTGGCAGTCCATTGATACATATCCAGCTACATTTCTACAGAAGCTGGGGCAGTCAGGATTCATTGGATGTGAGCGTCAGTTGGTCTTGCTCTGCCAATGAAGGTCATAATGTGCAACAAAAGTTATCCAGAATTGACAATAGCCAGCACAGAACTCTAATTCCAGGCTGGATACCCATATGGTACTGCGAGAGTTGTGGTTACACTCCTAGCAGCAGAAGAGTTCATCTCTGTTATGTGCATTGTTTCAAAGCAAAATGCTGAATATGCAGACTCCAGGTACCATGACCACTTCCAATCCCTTTAATAAAAGCGGTAGCTCACATGAGTGAAACTATTTTTAAAAATTCCTCTTTCCAAGTTTATACAAACTGTTTATATGTATAATAGAGAATACACAACCGTGAATTATACAGGATGTGAAAATTGAGTGGTATATGAACGCAGCAATTACATTATTTCCCTGTAATATACCATTTCCCATTCTGTAACTTTTATAGTACATGATATTTTAGGGCTTGACTTATTGTGTTAGGATTCCTATTGTTAGTCCTAGAATTTCTTAACTCCTAGAGCAGAACCAGTAACTATTGTGCCAGGTTAGCGGGAGATTAGGAGAGGGCTAAACTTAAAATTGTGTCTGCTGCTTCTCAAAAAAAATTTTTGGACAGACCTTAATATAGAAGACTATCAAACCATGCAGTTTGAAAACATGATCTACCCGTTTTAAAGACAGATCATGTAATATATACATTATGGTTTGACTGGCTTTGTTCAGTAACTCATCTCCCATTTCTTGGCAACAGCTGCAAATAGCAAGTACCGCCTGGTAGTATGTCCAAGTGCTGTCGTTAATGTTAGGAGCATAAACCTGTTTTCTCTGAGTATTTAGATTCAGGACACCCTTATATAGTAAAACAATGGAGATTTACTTACCTCTAATTCCCAGGCCCATTTAGCTCAATGCATCTCTATATGGAGGTCGGGATCTTCATGCACAGCATAAAGATGGTTTACATCAGTCCTTTAATTATTACAGGACTGTTCTAGGAAGTGCCTCTAGTGGCTGAGTGACAGATGCTAGAGGTGGTCTTAGAACACAGTGTAAACATGTTTGCCTGGCTAAGGCTGCAATGACAGTCTCTTTGCATCAGAACTATATTATGCTGCTAAAAATAACTAAAATGTTGGCATTATTGTCCATAATACATAGTTCATTGTTGTGTATATTACAGCTACACTGTACTCACCTCTAGCACATCAAAATGTATAAAGGCATAAAAATACACCAAATTCATAATATACAGCATGAGCCTACAGCTTAATGTAGTTCTGGTGAGAAATAGTTCCCTTCAGCCTTATTTTCATGTAAACACTGCCTTTTCAGAGAAAAGGTAGTGTTTACATTGCCCCTAGGGACATCTCCAAGTGACCACTCCTTAGATGGCCACTGGAGGTGCTTCCTGTCAATGCTGCATTTTCCTCAGAGATGCACTGATTCAATGTATCTCTACGAGGAGGTCCTGATTGGCCAAAACAGCATTTGGCCCTGCCGTGTGCTGATTTTAGCCAATCCAATGCCTTCCCTATTTTGTCAAAGGGGGTAGAGCCAGCACCAAACTTGCGTTGGAAATAAAGAGTTTTAAATTTTTATAGGGGGGCAAGCCACCTAAATGGTGGGTTAAACACTAGGGTCAGAAATGTTTGTTTGCTTAATGTATTTTCCTGCCTTTATATCTCTAGATTTTGTGCAAATTGCTTAAATGGGTGTTAAGGAACACAAACTTGTATTCATGACCCTATAATATAAAAAAAAAAAAAAACAACACACACAATCGAACCCCCATACCTCTTAATATAGCAAAATCTTACATTTACTCCAGTCTGCTGCTAGCTCTGCCTGCTTGACATCAGAAGTGTTGTTCTGAGCCTATCAATGCTTTCACAGAGGAAACCATAGAATTGGCTGACTTCGAATCGATACATCTGAGAAAAGTTCAGTGTCTCCATGCAGAGGGTGGAGACACTGAATGCCAGCACTGCCCCAGGAAGCACCTCTAGTAGCCCTCTGAGGAGTGGTTAGTGGAGTTATCACTAGGCTGTGATTTAAAAAAAAAAAAAATAAAATAAAAAAAAAGTGTTTACTGCAAAAAGCCAGAAGGGAATGATTACTCACCTGAACAAATCTAAGCTGTAGTTCTTCGGGTGACTAGTGTCCCTTTAAAATAAAATTTCTTAACTTTCCTTTTCCTCCATCGCTGTGCTGGTCTTTCGGTTTTGACGATCTTAACTAATCCAATGTTAAGCTTTTGCACATCAAAAACACTGTATTGTGCCAATTTGTATATCCTCAGATATGCTTTCACTCAATGTATCTCTATGGGGAACATTCAGAGTCTGAATGCAGAGTGTGCATACTGTGCAGCAGCACTAGTGGCTGTCTGAGTCACATCCACTAAAAAGGTGTAACTAAGCAGCACTATGAACACTGCCTTTTTGCCAAAAATCTGTGTTTACATTGCTCAGGCTGCAAAAACTAGAACCGCTGCAGTGGTTTTGCGGACTATGGTGTCCCTTTCCGTATTGGATATGGCAAGGTATATAGGAAGTATGCAATCATTAACCTAATTTTAGCAGAGTTGTATGGTGTGGCCATTTAAAAAAAGGTTTGCTTTACACCTAAACAGATGTTATCTGACAAATACAACCCTGCCCATGATTAGGCCTTGCACTTTGTAGTAAATATTCTCTGATGGTGGTGGGTGGCTAAGGGCAGCTATTAACGAATTCCTCTTATTGGACTAGATCAGCAAGTACAGCAGCACTATTGGTGTAGCTCTGCAGTAGTGAGCGCCGCTTTTAGAATAACTTAGCTTGGATAAAGAATGCCACTACCCACCACCACAAAATTAAATGTATTCTACAAACCCTGCCCCATTACTCATTCATCTTTTTTGTTTCTAGAGAAAAAGAAGCAGGGCCTGATACCACATTTAAGTGCTTGGCTTTTGATGCACACACTCCTAAGGAATGTGGAGAGATAATAAGACGCATTGGTAAGGATCTGTCTTGATATTTAAAAAAAAAGTGTACACGTTCAGTCTGCTAGTAATTGTATGTTTTGCAGCAACTGGATTTAGACATACAGAATGGTTTGTCTAAAAGGACAATATCAAGATGTTCTTACAGAACGTGTCTACATTGAAGACCAAAAATTGCACTATAATCCGAAAATGTCAGTGCTTCCCAAAGATGTATATAAGAGTACTGTACTTGGGTTTAACAAATAAATATATTTTTATAACCATTTGACATGGGTGGACAACTCCCTCTATGTATTTGAGATTAATTAAAGGCAAGAGACATGAATGTAAAACTGTTTAATTTAAACACAATATATAAAATTGCTCTTGTAAATGCACATTATGTTGTATAGCTGCCTGTTTAACACATTGATCGGTTAAGCACCTTGGATTTCCAATGATTTGATAAGTTTAAACAAGAGTATGCATAAGTTGGCCTCAACTCTATTACAAGCATTTCTCCTAACTAGTTGAATGTAGCCTTTAAAAATGCCAAACGAGTGATGTTACATTAACTTTCAAACCAGAAATTCAAAAACACAATGTTAGAAACACCTATACAAATGATTGCGTTTCCTGCACTTGGCATTCTAATCAAAGTCTTGCTATAGTATGTGAATTGCTTGATGTTCAAGTCTTAGAACAGATTTGGCTTCTCTAGTCAATGTACAGCTAGAATTCACTACTGTGTATGTGAGCAGATCAATGACATACAAAGCACCAGCTGCCATCTCCAACAAAGACCAGAAGGGGCATGTGAAGTTAAGCATTCACCCTGAGTGATAGATGGAATGATTTGAAGAAAGGAAACTGATCAGAACAAAAACCAATAAAAAGAAAAAAGGAACACAACACAATCTAAAACCAAGTTAGAGAGTTTACTAAAAATCAATCCCATTCTTTATGCCCTCTCACCACGTATTCTACGGGCAAGCTGAATGTCCTTGGGCATAATTGTAACTCTCTTGGCATGAATGGCACACAGGTTAGTGTCTTCAAATAAGCCCACCAAGTATGCCTCACTGGCTTCCTGCAAAGAGGGAAAGAAAGACTGCGTTAAACACACATCACATCTTTAGATCAGACATTAACATAGATCTGAGAGATCACCTATTACTTGTAAATTTAATCTCTTGCCCTCAGTAGCAAGCAACAAGCAGAGACCATCACCTAAATGTCACCTGCTTGGTTCCAAAAGTAAAGACTGACTATACATATCCCATAAACCCTGCCTATTTCAGAATGTGTAATAACTGTATACCGATGCCAATTCATGGAACATGAAGTCATATATCCACAAGATGAGCTGCCAAGATGGCCATTTCACCATGCATGCAGTACACTCATTTGTAACATAGGTAAAGTTAGATTCTTTAGTGGGACATGCTCAACATTAAACACGGCAGCTCGCTGTAATATTATGTTGCCTAGAGAGTCCTAGTGGAGTCTTCATATTTTATGTGAGCCTGTTTCATGGATTAAAGGACCACTATAGTGCCCTGAGGATGCCCCCACCCTCATGGTCCCCCCCCCCTCACCGCCAGGTTGAAGTTCGAAGGAGTTAAACACTTTCCTTTCTCCAGGGCCGGGGACTCTCCTCCTTTGGCAGTCATCGGCTGAATGCACGGCAAGAGACGCGGGCATTCCGTCAGCCCATAGGAAAGGATTCTCAGTGCTTTCCTATGGACGCTGGCGTCTTAACTGAAAGTCTGTGAGAAGCGCCTCTAGCGGTTGTCAATGAGACCGCCACTAGAGGCTGGATTAACTCATAGAAACTGCCATGTTTACAGCAGGCAGGGTTAACCCTAGAGGCTCCACACACACACCCCTCAAAAATCCTAGAGGCACCTGACACCCAGACCAAGTCATTGAGTGGTAGTGGTCTGGGTGCCTATAGTGGTCCTTTAAAGGTGCCAGATAAGTCAATGCAAAAAAGTTTATATATCCAGCAATAATTTGTCAGCCCAACACGCTTAGCCAAACTGTAGTAGTTTGCTTAGAATGCCCCTTCATTGTAGCAGCCCCACAATGCATTAACATGGAGAGTCCTTAAAATAGACGAATCACCAGAATTACTACAGCTCAATGCAATAACGTGTGCATGCACGCTTTTCATTGTAAATGCGGTATACATAGATGCTTGGTAACACCCCTACTGGCGGTCACTCAGACAGCTAGTAGATGTACATCCTGCAGTGTGCAACACTGGCATTCAGAGTCTCCATGCTTTGCATGGAAATTTCCCCTAGAGTCAGATTGATTCAATGAGACTGACCGGCATGGCGTTTTACCACACTTTCACAATAGCCTCCCAATATGGTAACCATTTGATTGGCAGAGATAAGATTGATCTCCGCCATAGAGGCAGATCAGGAGAAAAGCGAAGTTTAATAGGGGCTGAGCATCTAAGCAGTTAAGTCTTAGGAAGACTATATATGCAACCTTCGGCACTCCAGATGATGTAGAAGACATCCCACATAATGCAGGCAAAACATATGGAGTGCCAAAGGTTGCCTATGCCTAATTAAGGTTCCTTTAACATCAGCCTGCAGTGTGCCATTAAGTCTGCAGTTAACCTGGTAGCAACGAAAACTACCAAGTGGTAGAAGTGTGAAAGTAGTTACTTGAAGCATTGATAAACAAATTCATACCTGCAGCGCACCAATGGCAGCACTCTGGAAACGCAGGTCAGTTTTAAAATCCTGCGCAATTTCTCTAACCAGACGCTGGAATGGCAGCTTCCGAATCAGAAGTTCAGTAGATTTCTGGTAACGACGGATCTCACGGAGGGCAACAGTTCCAGGCCTAGAGGACAGAGTAGTGTTAAGTTTTGTCAATATTCTCAAAGATACTTTAAACATCATAACTACTGCAGGTTTTTACTTTACTGTTTTTCCCCCATACACATAAATAAAAAGTAAGATTTTATAGTACCCAGTCAGGGGGCTTTGAGCAAGAACACAATCTTATCAAACAAACTGGCAATTGTTTGAGCACCTGCACCACTAAAATGGTTATGGTGCTTTGAGTTCCAAATTCAGAATTTACCTGTAGCGATGTGGTTTCTTCACTCCCCCTGTGGAAGGTGCACTCTTCCTGGCTGCCTTGGTGGCAAGTTGTTTACGAGGAGCCTTCCCTCCTGTGGATTTACGGGCAGTTTGCTTTGTACGTGCCATGGTCTTTTATTGCTTTAAAAAAAACAAACAAAAAAAAACAAAGTTACAATCTGAATGCGGCAATTTTGTTAGATGCAGTTACACATACTATGAGACTGAATGTTAGATTCCTACTGCGTGTGTCACCAACAGAATTAAGGACTGGGTAACCTTTTAAAGGAACACTCACAAAAGATTTCTCCAAGCAACATGACCACTTCAGTGCCTTTAGTCTGCAGATGCAACAATGTATAGCACAATACTGCACATACAGAGCTTGACAAGTTCCAGTCTGGTCAATATTGATTATGTGCATATGAATATGCACAGAATTGTATTAATAGAGGTCACTTGCCATTGAGGACCCTTAGCGCCTGGCAGGAACCTAGGTAAAATGGCAAACCGTTTAAAAAACAGTTTGCCCTATTACTGGAAAACCGTGCCTGGGTAGTGGTTATGATACTTGTGTAACCATTGACATTTATTTATGTTATAGTGACAGAAGTCTATGGACAGTCTTACGTTAGGTTAGAGAGACTTACAGAGCTCCAGTCGCTCTCAGCTGATCACTGGCAAATGGATAGAATGCATCAGACTAACTATCAATGTAAACCTTCCCTAAACTGCATAGGCAAATAAGGATGAAGCTGGCAAAAATCAAATGCTTCCATAGGAAGATTGCTTTATTGAAAACAGTGATTTCCCACAGGCAAGTTGAAGTCAGAAAAAAAAAAAACCACAAACCTTCAGCTGTTTAAAAGAAAAAAGTTTTATTTGCCATACATCAGGCGGCACACAGGTCTCCATGCTTCATCATCATTTAGATGGTAAGGCATGTGATGGTTCAATTGCATGCTCTTTATTGAAGGGGGTTGGGGGCCTACTGTGCATGCACAACACACATTCAAGCTTCCCCATAACAAAGCATGGAATTAATGCCATCCTATAGGGGCTTTCGCTTCACGTGAAAAACTCTCGTCAGTGCAGAACTCCAGTAGTGGTCATACTGACAGCGACTAGTCGTAGACTAACCCTGCAATGTTGATATTGCAGTTTCTGAAACAAATTTCAATGTTTTCCATAACAAGGTCACTGCATCTAGGCCACTCAATTGATATGAAATGGTCTGGGTGACTAGTGTCCCTTTTAAGAGCTTCCATTTTCAGAAATCTTCATATTCAGGATTAAACCAAACCTGTGTAGTTTAAAGGAACACAAAATATTTATTCCTGACACTACAGTGCTTGAATGCATTTTAGCCCCTCCTCTCTCCTGAGATTAAATGTGATTTCATGCACGTTCATTCCCATGCTGGTCTCACCATGCCTGGCCCCGCCACTGTGGCAGAGATCAATGTTTATCTCAGCCCATCAACCGCTTTTAACACAGTAACGCAATGGGATACTATTGCGCATGCACAACTAAACACTGTGCTGAGCCAATCAGTAGGACACAGCTGTTGAACCCAAGTGCTGCAGACTGGAGAGAGAGAGCACTTCTAGTGCCAGTCTGAGTGCCTGCCGCTAGATGTTTAACTAGTCAGCAATGTAAACAAAGCCTTTTTTTACTGAAGAGGCAGTGTTTACAATGCCAAGTCTGCAGGAACATGCTACAGCCACCATAACCACTACATTAAGCTGTAATTGTTCTGGTGACTATAGTGTCCCTTTAAGACTAAGAAATAGTAAAAAAAGAGATATAGATATATAAAATAAATCTCTCAACACTACTCAATGGGTACATCTCACAGGCTCCAGCTGGCCACCAAGGAAGCCATTTTCACAGGGATCATGTAATTGGTGCCTTGTCTCCACCAAAATGGCCTCTGTCCTCACTTTACACCGGTGACAATACAATGACAAGACACACACTATAACCCAGCACCACAGGCTGATACCTCTCCTCCCCAGCAGGGTGACGTAATCACCAACGTAAGCACCAGGAGGAGAATTCAAATGGCCACGTGGTCGGATCCAGCCAATCGCGAGTCACCTAAACACAGACACACACTCACAGGGTACTGGAAAGCCCCGAACCCCCAACCGTCAAACCAGCACCAACGGTCCGTCACGTGGGGAGAAAGCAGACACCGCACGGTCACACGACAGCTACCCCCCACCCCCACACACTCCTGCGGCTCTAGGACTACGACTCCCATCATGCTCAGCGAGTCCTCCAAGCTAATAAAACCCACGGGAGTTATTGATATTAAAATCTGGGGTTTAACGAAAGTCCTTCGCCCGAAAACACCCCCATAATTTTTTTTTTTTAAATAAAAAGCGCTTAGTAGTCGCTCACCTTCCCCGCGCGCGCTCTTTCTCTTCTTCTCGCCGACGCAACCAACCGTCTTCTGCGCGCCTGTGAGGCGCTCGATCTTTTTATACCAGCGAGCCCTCGGCGCTGGGCCACGCCCCCTTTACAGGGTGCGTCAGGTACAAGCGGACGTCGTGATTGGCTGCAGAGACCGCAGTCGTCACGCAAGTGTCTCGTTCCGCCTTGCACCCTCTGAGGACTTTCTGGCACTTCATCGTTGATTGGTTTAAATCCTCGGCTTCTGGTTGGTCCCCAGCGCCACGGTGTGATTGGATGCTGGCGGTCAGGAGTGGCCGATTGGAGCTCTCTGATTGGTTGACTTTAAGTAACTTTGCAATCTGTGATTATGTCCATGGTTAGCATACCTAACAAGTGTCCCTATTTAGGAGGGGCAGTCCCTATTTTGAGTCCAAATTCCTCTGTTTGTCTTTTTTGTTATATTGTCCATTTTTTCTAGGAGCTCCATATTGTTGGTGTGTCTGAGTGTATAACAGAGCTCCACAGCAATAATACTCCCAGTAATGTGTCTTTAACCCCTTAAGGACCGATGACGGTTCAGGACCGATGGCGTTCCCCCGGCTGCGATTGGCGTAGCTCCCGGTGGGGGGACTGCCAGACATTCCCCCCTCGGTGAATTTATTATAATATAAAATTGTGCACGTTCACTTTACTACCCCAATTGTAAAGCTTGACATGATGCCAGAGGATTGCCATTGGCATACCTCAGGCTTGTATGTACCTATCTTATGCACTGCAAAAATATAAAATAAAAAAAGAATTCAGTCTGTGTAAGTAAGATACTTGCCATAAATTACATTATTTATGGGAATAAAAGTTGTATAAATTGTTAATTAGTAAATCACCTAAAATTTCTCACAACAGTCTCAAACGTCATCACACCTCCACTCAAAATCAAAGTGTCCATTTGAAATGTTGTGGGATATGGGTTAGCGAGTCTCTTGGGTAGCATCTGTATTATTAACCCCTTAAGGACGCAACTTCAGTTTGCATGCTTTGTTCTTAAAGGGGCTCTTCACTCCACTAACCAAATAAAAATATTAAAACACTATCAATCTGATTTACTAAAGTGATAATTCAAATTGACGTTAACTTTTTAAGCCAAAGTAGCACCAGAAACATAGCTGACTTAATTGTATTTTTTCAGTTTGGCTATTATGGCCTTAAAGCCCCTCTATAGGCACACAGACCACTTCAGCTCAATTAAAAATGGTCTGGGTGCCAGGTCCCTCTAGTTTTAACCCTGCAGCTGAAAACATAGCAGTTTCATAGAAACTGCTATGTTTCACTGAGTTAATCCAGCCTCTAGTGGCTGTCTCACTGACAGCCACTAGAGGCCGCTTCCGCGATCACATTAAAAAAAATGACAGTGAGAAGACGCTGGTCGTCCATAGGAATGCACTGAGTAATGCTTTCCTATGGATTGTTTAAATGCACGTGGCTCTTGCAGCGCATGCGCATTCGGAGCTGACGTCGGCAGAGGGAGGAGAGTTCCCCAACACAGAGGGAGCCCGGCGCTGGAGAAAGGTAAGTGGCTGAAGGGGTTTTAACTTCTTTAGCCCAGCGGAAGGGGGGCAACGATGGTGGGGGGGACCTAATGACCCTATAGTACCAGGAAAACAAGTTTGTTTTCCTGGCACTATGGTGGTTCTTTAAATTTGAGAATCACTTTGAATTCTCTCTTTAGTGAATGACCCTGTATTTGGAGGTATATATACCCCTCAATGAAAACATGCATGCATTTAATTATGCATTTTATTGGGATATCTCATAGAATTTATTGAAACCAGACTCAATGATATAGAAATATAGTCTGCTACATTAAGCTCTTAGATTGATGGAATTATGAAACCAGAAGAATACATGGACTGTGATAAGAAACTATAACCCCCCAAAAAAAAACTGGAAAAGGGAGTCACATAAAGAAAAAAAGTCCCAAAGAAATAAAGAGGACTATGATAATAATAGGGTATATATGAATATTATTTATATAACTAAAAGTAAGATAACATCAGTACTTTGAAGATCAACACAAGCGCAAACAGAATGTTTTTTTCTCCAGCAATGACGACATTGGATTTATCAATGGTTTCTGATGCCTCAGGCAGTACACATACACAATGCAGAAAAACTGTATGCTATAATGAAGAAAGCAGACTACATAGTAGAAATAGCAGTGAAGATGCCAGTTTAAAAAACAGAGTCTACGATTTCAGGAAAATAAACTACAAGAAAAAGATGTACTGCAAAAGAACAATAAAGTTCACACTTAGTTACAGAAATCTTTAGGGGTATTGTCTACAAAGGAAAAAAATATATTTACTGTGCTCTAATCCTATCAAACAAATATTCTATCATCTATACAACATACATAAATCTCTGACATATCCTCCCGGTTGTGCCATAATCTCGGGGACTGGTTCCCTGTGACACTCTGTAAGTGTCTGGACTGTCATCTACAATGCCCAGTTCAAACTTCCAAGAGTTATTTAAGGGAATAAAAGCTTTTACTTTCTCAACTACTAGTGCTCAAATGAAAGGAAACATATTTTTGGTTGGGACATGGTACTGCCATGGGGTCAAAGTTTGCCCAATCATATGCCAGCATTTACATGATTTTGTGGGAGTTGGGCCACACCTTTGGAGCTGGCAATATCTATTGATTAAACATCACATAGTATGAGAGATACATAGACAATCTCTTGATAATTTGGGATGGATATAAACATACATGTAAACAATAAGGAGTGGAATCTCTTTTTTGCAATGGTTGCAAATACCCCTAAAGATTTCTGTGACTAAGTGTGTATTTATGTTCTTTTGCAGTAAATAATGAGGAAATCCTTTTTTTGTGGATTTATACCTGTAAGAGATTGTGCACAAGCAATCGATAATAACTTCAGGATATAGGAAAAACATGGCAGGCAACAACTTTATTGCAAGCTAGTAGTTGTCATCCCTCACATACTTTAAGGCAGTCTACTTGGATACACCTTAGGAGTGGTGTTCCTCCAAGGAGACATTTGAAGATCAATCTAAAGATTTGACAAAGTGCTTATTACAAAGCGAATATTCACTTAAAGTGGTTAAAGTAGGCCATAAGTTAGTGAAATGCGTCACACAGGAGGAGGGCCCCATTGCACCAAATGATCCGGGCTACGAAGTCTCTCCCCAAGCGGCAGCTCTCTAAGCATTCTGATTTTATCTTTTGTTTATAAATAAAAACGCTTAGGGATTTGCACTCATTATTAGAGCACAATGATCACAAGATATCAAGATAAAAAATAAATGGTACAACATAAAGCTGGGGACAAAGGGAACAAATGTAAATGATGACGAGGATAAGAGAAATTTACCAACCTTTTGCATTGAATATATCAATCAATATAATAGACATAGAAACATAGAATGTGACAGGAGATGAGAACCATTCAGCCCATCTAGTCTGCTCAATTTTCTAAATACTTTCATTAGTCACTGGCCTTATCTTATAGTTAGGATAGACATATGACTATCCCACGAATGCTTAAACACCTTAACTTTGTTAACCTCTACCACTTAGCTGGGAGGCTATTCCATGCATCCACTACCCTCTCAGTAAAGTAATACTTCCTGAAATTGGTTTTAAACCTTTGCCCCTCTAATTTATGTCCTCTTGTTGTGGTATTTTTTTTCTTTTAAATATAGTCTCCTCCTTTACTGTGTTGATTCCCTTTATGTATTTAAATGTTTCTATGAAATCCCCCCTGTCTCGTCTTTCCTCCAAGCTATACATGTTAAGATCCTTTAACCTTTCCTTGTAAGTTTTATCCCGCAAACCATGAACCAGTTAAGTAGCCCTTCTCTGAACTCTCTCTAAAGTATCAATATCCTTCTAGAGATACGGTCTCCAGTACTGCATACAATACTCCAAGTGAGGTCTCACCAGTGTTCTGTACAATGGCATGAGCACTTCACTCTTTCTACTGCTAATACCTCTCCCTATACAACCAAGCATTCTGCTAGCATTTCCTGCTGCTCTATTACATTGTCTGCCTACCTTTAAGTCATCAGAAATAATCACACCTAAATCCCTTTCCTCAGATGTTGAGGTTAGGACTCTATCAAATATTCTGTACTCTGCCCTTGGGTTTTTATGTCCAAGATGCATTATCTTGCATTTGTCCACATTAAATGTCAGTTGCCACAACTCTGACCATTTTTCTAGTTTACCTAAATCATTTGCCATTTGGCTTATCCCTCCTGGAACATCAACCCTTTTACATATCTTGGTATCATCAGCAAAAATCAGGCAGTCAACATCGTTCATAAACATCTCCCATTATTAAGATGATTATCAGATGATTTGTATGGAGAATTACATATGAGGAAATCTAAGGGCTAAAGTGGGTCTAAATCAATCAAAATGCATAGATGTGGAATAAATAGATGTGTATGCTGTAAATATGGACATAAGAATAGTCATTTATGTCATTGGTTATAAATAAGGAATTTGAAAATAAATATTTAATCAATTGCTACATGAAAGGAATCATCTATTTAATAACATGTAGTGTGTGCCACAAACAGTAAGTAAGTCAAACAAAACAAAAATTGAAACAGAGAATTGCAGAACATATTTACAGCATCAAATCTGTGATTGAAAATTAAACTACAATACTTAGATGTATTAGAGCATATGAAAGAGGGGATCTTTCCTTTTTTCAATAAAAATGCAAATTAGATTTCAGAGGTAGAAATTTACAAAGAAAGTTATTAAAGGACTCCAAATGGACTCAATCTAGAATGCGATCTTAACCATATATTTGGACATTAAGTTAGTTCTATCAAAGATCAATGAATGTATCACATGATTTACATTGTATCATCTTGGCATAAGTATATTGTGGATAATAGGTCCTGGCAAATATATGTTGTCTATTAGAAATGCTCCAGGCCCATGGTATAGGGCAGGCCCATTGATTTAAAATAAGTGTTTTTTGTTTTTTTCTATTCTTCACATGCTCTTGCTTAAAGGGACACTATAGTCACCTGAACAACTTTAGCTTAATGAAGCAGTTTTGATGTATAGAACATACCCCTGCAGCCTCACTGCTCAATCCTCTGCCATTTCAGAGTTAAATCACTTTGTTTTTGAACCCTAG